TCAAGGGGGCCGAATACTTTCGCAAGGCACTGTATTGATATCTTTGGTTTGGTTCTAGGACAACTGGACAATTTATTAAATATTAGACAATTAGTAGTTTGGTTTGTTAGAACGTTGGTCTGGTTTGATCCTACACAGTACAAACAAATTAATTCATATAGCCTCTATGAATTGAATAAACTGGCATGTATTATAAAGTAAATTTCTTGTTAAAAAGTTACTTTAAATTATGTAATTATGTGTTCAGAACAATAGAGTGAGTATAGAGTGGCATGCTTTCAATTCAAGTAGTAAATTAAATATAGATTTAATTCATTGGATATCAGAATGGATGTGAAAACACAAATACAATGTTTGTGCTGTTTATATTACAGCTTACAATTTGGATGGTGTAAGATTAAAAGGATACACAGCCTGGTCTCTGATGGACTCTTTTGAATGGCTGGAGGGCTACAATGTTGGCTTTGGTCTTCACCATGTGGACTTCAAGAACCCGATTCGACCACGAACCCCTAAACGCTCTGCTCATTACTTTTTCCAAATCATAAAAAATAATGGATTCCCTATGCCAGATGATGAAAAGCTCTTGTATGCACAGTTTAGAAAGGATTTTGCTTGGAGTGTTGCAACAGCATCTTATCAGGTAAATTATCTCATTTTAAGCCCGTTTCTTCCAACTAAAAAGAAGGAAATAATACTTAAAAATGTGTTTTAATATTGACCTAATTGATGGGAAGTATGTACTTATAAAGTCACATAACAGGTATGAAATACTCCACTCCAGTGTTTAGGATAATGATTATTTGATTATATTAAACCATTGGCACAGTTAAACAAGGCTGATTGCACAAACGTTTTTTCCATAATTAAAGATTGAAGGAGGCTGGAGGGCCGATGGAAAGGGAGTGAGCATCTGGGACACCTTTGCACACACTCCATTGAAAGTGGGTAATGATGAGAATGGAGATATTGCTTGTGACAGCTACAACAAAATTGATGAGGATGTGGCTATGCTGAAAAAGCTTGGGGTGACTCACTATCGCTTCTCCATATCCTGGCCAAGGGTTCTACCTGATGGAACCCCAAGGTACATAAATGAAAAGGGACTCAACTATTATCATCGTCTTATTGATAAACTTCTTGCTGCTAACATACAGCCACAGGTAAGCTGTGAACACATTGTATAAATAAAATACGCATTTGGATAAACTGACCTTTGTGTTATCTTGTTACATCCAGTGTATGTTTTACAAAATGATGGTGGGTTTTGATGACAGAAGTGACAGAAGTTTCACTATACTTTACGCTATACTATATTATTTTGTTTTAGTGCTAATGGTAAGCCTTTACTAAAACTATTGGGAAGACATAAAGAAATAATACAATTAAAATACTATAAAGAACTGAGCTTTTCTGCTTAAACACTATCCTTCATTATAGTGGATTGATTGTTTTCTGCGATGGAATATTAAACAGTGACTTGATATGGCTTGAATTTGTTGTGCTCTATTGTCTGAATAGGTGACCTTGTACCACTGGGATCTTCCTCAGGCCCTGCAGGATGAGGGGGGTTGGGAAAATGAAACCATTGTACAGAGATTTAAGAGTTATGCTGATGTCATTTTCAGCAGGCTAGGGGAAAAAGTGAAATTCTGGATCACAATCAATGAGCCCTATAATGTGGCAAACATAGGACATGGCTATGGAACAGCTGCACCAGGTATGGGATTCTCCCTTGGCAGGGCAACAGTCTGGTGCTTGATATACTATAAGCAAGAATCTTTTTTAATCTATTGGTAGTATATGGAGAAAACTGAATGCTCAAAATATAATTTGAAGAAAGGTGGAGAGACGTGTTCTCATCCCATTAATTTAATCATTTGTTCAGGTGGAAACTCAAATTGTAACCATTTGTATGTGTGTTTTCAACTCTGCAAGCCATCCTTCAACAAATATCCCTATGAGACTTAAATTTCATAACTGGTGTAACAGTAAATATTGCTTGATTTTTACCTTTCTGTTTCAAGGAATCAGCTTTAGGCCAGGTACAGCACCTTATGTGGTTGGCCATAACCTTCTTAAAGCTCATGCTGAAGCCTGGCACCTTTATAATGACAAATACAGACAAAAGCAGGGTGGACTAATCTCCATTACCATCAACTCAGACTGGACAGAGCCAAGGAACCCTTACAAACAAGAGGACATTGATGCTGCTAGGCGCGTTCTACAGGTAGTGCACTTGGCAAACTCTCAACTACACCTACAATTAGATGAGGGTTATTTAAGTTGTTTTTTTTTTTCAAATCAGATATCATTATAATAAGACTAGCATCATAATGCTGCTTGCTACAATAGATGAATACGATGTTAGTTTATGTTTATTTCTAAACTTTAAATTCGGGTATACCTTTTAGTCTGCACAATATACTACAGTTCTTCATGCCATCTTACAGTTTACGATGTAGTCAGAACCCTCCAAAAGCAAATACTGTACTTAGGGTATGCTTGTTACAAAATTCTTGCTGCTAATGACTGAAATCATAGAACAACCTTAAATGATCAATATGACAGCATATTCAGTTGTAATGTTAAATAGTTTGTGGTTAATACTTTCACGTGTTGATGCTATAATGACCAATTTAGTTATTTTGATTCTATTTTGGAGGAGTGTTGTACTTCCGTCTCATCCAGGGTATATTGTGCCTTGCACCCATTGCTTGCCGGGATAGCCTCTGAGTCCCCTGCCACCCTGTACTGGAAATAGTGGTTAGAAAATGGATGGATAAACTGATGGTATACTGCCATCTGGTGTACTATTGAAATAAATAAAAATGCTCTTCTCAGATGCAGCTTTATTAGACTGCAATATTTTTAATTATTACATACTAAAGAAGTTAGACAGTTGCTCTTAAATTTGAAAACTATTATTTTCACCAATTATAACTGAGCATAAATTGCTATGAAATTATCATGCAAAAGGCAATTCATTACAGCTGAACAAACACATTTCATTGTCGTTGTAGAGAATTCTCTGCAGCCCTTGTTGTGTATTCAAAAACAGTTTAATTTGTTTTAAAGGAAAAACATTTTATTTACTCTTCACCAGTTATCAATGCTGAAGTGTAATGTTTTATTTCACTATAGTTTTATATAGGATGGTTTGCTCACCCTGTGTTTAAAGGAGATTATAATGAATTGATGAAGACAAGAATTCGAGAAAGGAGCTTGGCTGCTGGTCTTTCAAAGTCTCGGTAAGATGTTTAAATTCATTAATTGGATAACCATTGTTTCATTTGGGACCAGCTATTGAACACAAAGATTAAATTGGCTTCTGTTGGTTTATAGTCAAATCCAATTTACAGTGCATTTGTTGCAATAAGTTGCCATTTACATTTTGTAAAGCTGTAGGGAAAAAGGGGTACAATAAAACTGGGTATATAAGCGTAATGGCTTGACAGAGCAATATAGTAGGGAATTGAGGTGATAAAAGGACAAAAATACATCAAAGGTAAGAGTAAGTTAGCCCAAACAGAGCTATTGCTT